TTACTATGGCTGGAATCTTCAGTCTTATGTTGAGTAAATGTGGTGAAAGTTGACATCCTTGTCTTTTTCTTAATTTTAAGGGAAAAGCTTTTCATCTTTAACTATTGAGTATGATGTTTGTATGTTTGTGAATTTTTTATATGTAGCTTTTTTCTTTTTTTTTTTTTTTTTTTTTTTTTTTTTGATATACAAAGTAGACAGAGAGAGAGAGACAGAGAGAAAGGTCTTCCTTTTTCTGTTGGTTCACCCCTCCAGTGGCTGCTGCGGCCGACGCACTGCACTGTTCCAAAGCCAGGAACCAGGTGGTTCTCCTGGTCTCCCATGCGGGTGCAGGGCCCAAGGACTTGGGCCATCCTCCACTGCCTTCCCGGGTCACAACAGAGAGCTGGCCTGGAACAGGAGCACCGGGACAGATTTTGGCACCCCGACTGGGACTAGAACCCAGGGTGCTGGCGCCGCAGGTGGAGGATTAGCCTATTGAGCCACGGTGCTGTCCTATATGTAGCTTTATCAGGTTTAGGAAATTCCCTTCTAGTTTACTGAGTATTTTTACCATGAAAGGATATTGAATTTTTTATTTTTAATTTATTTGACAGGTAGAGTTATAGACAGAGAGAGAGAGACAGAGAGAAAGGTCTTCCTTCCATTGGTTCACTCCCCAAATGGCTGCTACGGCCGGCGTACTGCGCCGATCTGAACCCAAGAGCCAGGTGCCTCCTCCTGGTCTCCCATACGGGTGCAGGGGCCCAAGCACTCGGGCCGTCCTCTGCTGCCGTCCAGGGCCACAGCAGAGAGCTGGACTGGAAGAGGAGCAACCGGGACTAGAACCTGGTGCCCATATGGGATGCCGGCACCGCAGGCGGAGGATTAACCTAGTGAGCCACGGCGTCCGCCCCCAGGATATTGAATTTGTTAAATGTGTTTTCTGCATAGTGAAGATGATCGTGGTGTTTTTTTCCTTTTCTTTCTTTCTTTCTTTTTTTTTTTTTTTTTTTAAGATTTATTTATTTGAAAGTAAGAGTTACACAGAAAAAGGAGAGGCAGAGAGAGAGGTCTTCCATCCAATTGTTCACTCCCCAGTTGGCAGCATTGGCCGGAACTGCACCGATCCCAAGCCAGGAGCCAGATGCTTCTTCCGGGTCTCCCACGTGGGTGCAGGGGCCCAAGGACTTGGGCCGTCTTCTGCTTTCCCAGGCTATAGCAGGGAGCTGGATGGGAAGAGGAGCATCTGGGACTAGAACCGGCACCCATATGGGATGCCGGTGCTTCAGGCAGGGTGTTAACCTGCTGAGCCACAGCACTGGACCCTTTTCCTTCTTTTTATTCTGTTAATTTGGTGTGTTAATTTTATTTTTATTTTTTTGACAGGCAGAGTGGACAGTGAGAAAGACAGAGAGAAAGGTCTTCCTTTGCTGTTGGTTCACCCTCCAATGGCCGCCTCGGCTGGCGCACTGCAGCCGGCGCACCGCGCTGATCCGAAGGCAGAAGCCAGGTGCTTCTCCTGGTCTCCCATGGGGTGCAGGGCCCAAGCACTTGGGCCATCCTCCACTGCCTTCCCTGGCCACAGCAGAGAGCTGGCCTGGAAGAGGGGCAACCGGGACAGAATCCGGCGCCCCGACCGGGACTAGAACCCAGTATGCCGGCGCCGCAAGGCGGAGGATTAGCCCATTGAGCCACGGTGCCGGCGTGTGTTACATTTAATTTTGTATGTTGAGTCATCTTTGTATTCCAGGAATAAATCCCATGTGGTCATGGTTTCTAATCATTTTAAAATGCTTCTGAATTATTTTGCTGTTTTTTTTTTTATGGTTTCCTTAACATAATTTCTTTAGTAAGTATCTTTTTTTAAACTTTTATTTAATAAATATAAATTTCCAAAGTCCAGCTTATGGATTACAGTGGCTTCCCCCGCCCATAACTTTCCTCCCACCTGCACCCCTCCCATCTCCTGCTCCCTCTCCCATTCCATTCACATCAAGATTCATTTTCAATTATCTTTATATACAGAAGATCAATTTAGTATATATTAAGTAAAGATTTCAACAGTTTGCACCCACACAGAAACGCAAAGTGTAAAGAGTACTGTTTGAGTACTAGTGATAGCATTAATTTACATGTACAACACATTAAGGACAGAGATCCTACATGAGGATTAAGTGCACAGTGACTCCTGTTGTTGAATTAACAATTTGACACTCTTGTTTATGGCGTCAGTAATCACCCTAGGCTCTTGTCATGAGTTGCCAAGGCTATGGAAGCCTTTTGAGTTCACCAACTCTGATCTTTTTTAGACAAGGTCATAGTCAAAGTGGAAGTTCTTTCCTCCCTTCAGAGAAAGGTACCTCCTTCTTTGATGTCCTGTTCTTTCCACTGGGATTTCACTCGCAGGGATCTTTTATTTAGGGTTTTGCTGGAGTGTCTTGGCTTTCCATGCCTAAAGTACTCTCAGGGGCTCTTCAGCCAGATCTGAATGCCTTAAGGGCTGATTCTGAGGCCAGAGTGCTGTTTAGGACTATTCTAATTTGAGGAATAAACTCACACAGCTCTTTTCTGTGGTTTACTCTTCAAATGTCCACAATAGCCAGAGCATGGAGACAGGCACTCGGTCCATTTCTTCCATGTGGGTGGTAGGAACCTAACAACTTGAGCTATTGCTTGTTGCCTCCTGGAGTGTGCATTAGCAGGAAGCTGAAATTTGTTGTGGATCTGGTCTTGAACCCAGGTACTCTGATATGGTCTGTATGTGTCTCAAGTGGCATCTTAACTGCACCAAATTTTGGTTGCAATAAATCTGTGTCTAATTTTTCATCGGGAGTGGGCATTTACCATAGTGGGTAAGATGCTTACATTCCAAACTGGAATGCCTGAGTTCAAATTCCTGCTTCTAGCTCCTGACTCTAGCTAGCTCCTTGCTAGTGCAAACCCTGGGAGGCAGCAGTTAGGTAGCTCAACTAATTGGGTTCTTGGTACTCACGTGGGAGTTCTCGAAGATGTTCCCAGCTCTTGGCTCCAGTCATGACCTGGCCTCAGTTGGTGCAGGCATTTGAGGAATGAAGTAGCAGATGGGGATTCTCTGTCTCTTTTGTTCAACAATTTTTTTTTTATATTTTTCATATAACCTTGTGAATGAGGTTGCGCAATACCTGTCTTCTAATTGTGATATCTCTTTGACAATCTTCCTGAAGAAATTGAAGGAATTTAATGAATATATATATATATTAAAGATTATTTATTTGAGAGGCAGAGTTACAGAAAGAGAGAGAGACACACAGAAGTTTTCCATCCTCTGGTTCACTCCCCAAATGGCTGCAGTGGCTGGAGCTGTTTTGGTCCAAAGCTAGGAGTTTCTGGGTCTGCTACATGGGTGCGGGGGCCCAAGCACTTAGGCCATCTTAGGCTGTTTTTCCCAGGCCATTAGCAGGGAGCTGGATTGGAAGTAGAGCAGCTGGGACTTGAACTGGCACCCATTTGTGAGGCCGGTGTTGCAGGTAGCAGCTTTACCCACTATGCCAAAAAACACTGGTGCCAGTACCCGGATATATAAATTAATGAATTATGAAACTCTTTCAAGACTTTCAAGTTTTGTTGTATTGTTTCTTCATATTTTAGGTTTAATTTATTACATGTGCATAATGCATATGCCTCAGAACTAGTTTGCTTTTTAAATTTTTTTAAAGATTTATTTGTTTATTTGAAATTCAGAGTTACACTGAGAGAGGAGAGGAAGAGAGAGAGAGAGAGAGAGAGAGAGAGAGAGAGAGAGAGGTCTTCCATCCACTGGCTCAATCCCCAGTTGGCCGCAATTACTGAAGCTGTGTTGATCCAAAGCCAGGAACCAGGAGCTTCCTTTGGGTCTTCCCACACAGGTACAGGAGCCCAAGGACCTGGGCCATCTTCTACTGCTTTCCCAGGCCATAGCAGAGAGTTGGATTGGAAATGGAGCAACCAGGACTTGAACCGGCACCCATATGGCATGCCAGCAGTGGCTTTACCCACTGTGCCACAGTGCCGGCCCCTAGTTTGCTTTTTAAAAATGAAATTTATGGGGCTGGCGTTAAGATGCTTTGTGGGATATTGGCATCCCACATTGGAGTACCGTGTTTGAGTCCTAGCTCCACTTCCAATTTCAGCTTACTGCTAATACCCTAGGAGGGAACAGATGATGACTCAAGTAATTGAGTCCCTGCTACACATGTTTGGCTTCGGCTGTTGGTGTTGAGGTGAACCAGTGTGTGGGAAATTACTTTTTCTTTGCCGCTCAAAATATATAAGTAAATAAACACATTTAATTGTATCTTATACTTTCTTAGGGATTTTATGGTGAGTTGGTAAAAAGTAAATCATTATGATTCATTTTTGAGGGTAGAGTGACATGTCATTATTGTTTTGTGAAGATTAAATCTTCCTGATGAGAACTAAATAGTCCTAATAGAATCACTTCCTTTCCTATTAGGAACAACTTAACTATTTTTGGGATGAATTCTGTTTTTTTGAAGTTTATTCTCATTATGATTATCATGAGAGAGTTAGTGGCTGGCCTATAATTTCTTTAGGTGCCTCTAAAATTAATTTAGGCACTGGAGGGGCTGGCGCTGTGGTGCAGTAGGTTAAAGCCCTGGCCTGAAGTGCCGGCATCCCATATGTGTGCCAGTTCGAGTCTTGGCTGCTGCTCTTCCGATCCAGCGCTCTGCCTGGGAAAGCAGAAGAAGAAGGCCCAGGTCCTTGGGCCCCTGCACCCATGTGGGATGGCTCCTGGGTTTGGATTGGCTCAGCTCCGGCCGTTGTGACCATCTGGGGAGTGAACCAGCAGATGGAAGACCTCTCTCTCTGTCTCTACCTCTCTTTGACTCTGTCTTTAAAATAGATAAATCTTTAAAAACAAAAAAACTTAGGCACTAGAGAATTAAACTCATTAAATCTAATTTACAAGTATCCAGTATATATACCGATTCAAGTACTCATGTGTTTACAATTAAAATCTGATTCTTTTGCCTCCTTAGCGCTGGCTGACAGAGCAGAGAGCTCAGTGTCCTCATTGCCGGTAAGTTGTTTTCTACAATTGTTTTTGAATTTAGAAAATAGTAGGGCAGTGGGGTCAGAGTGTGCCCCAGATTCATAAAGACAAGTTGATTCTGCAGTGCCACGTTTCTCTTATTTGTGACTGTAGTTGAATCAAAAATAAAAACATTCTGTTTAGTAACAGAAATGCAGAGAGTGACTTAACTGACTTAGAATATTATAGAATGGATTACATTGATATGGTTATACAGATGCCTGTTTTGGAAAATCATTATATAACTTAACTTTGGTTTTGTAATTAAAAAAATTGTTTTTAAGTGTTTGTGGTTAAAAAGATCACTTAAGGGCCGGTGCTGCGGCTCAATAGGCTAATCCTCCGCCTTGCGGCGCTGGCACACCGGGTTCTAGTCCCGGTCGGGGCACTGGATTTTGTTCCGGTTGCCCTTCTTCCAGTCCAGCTCTCTGCTGTGGTCCGGGAAGGCAGTGCAGGATTGCCCAGGTCCTTGGGCCCTGCACCTGCATGGAGACCAGGAGAAGCCCTTGGCTGCTGCCATCGGATCAGCGCGGTGCGCTGGCCGCAGCACGCCAGCCACAGTGGCCATTGGAGGGTGAACCAACGGCAAAGGAAGACCTTTCTCTCTGTGTCTCTCTCTCTCTCTCTCTCATTGTCCACTCTGCCTGTCCAAAAGAAAACATACAAGAAAAGTTACAAGACCCTGTTTATGATCAGAAGACTAAATAAATAAAAAGTTTTCTGATACTCTTTTCATAAAATAAATTTTTCTGAAAAAATATTTAGGTTTATATCTGTTCACATTTTCCTATGCATTACTGATATCTATGCATGTATTTTTTTTTAAGTGTTTTTTTTTTTTTTTTTTTTGACAGGCAGAGTGGACAGTGAGAGAGACAGAGAGCAGGTCTCCTCCACTGCACTCCTTGGCCACAGCAGAGAGCTGGCCTGGAAGAGGGGCAACCAGGACAGAATCTAGCGCCCCGACCGGGACTAGAACCCGGTGTGCCAGCACTGCAGGCGGAGGATTACCCTAGTGAGCCGCGGTGCCGGCTGTGCATGTATACTTTTTAAAAAAATATTTATTTATTTGAAAGAGTTACACAGAGAAAAAAGGAGAGAGAGAGAGAGGTCTTCCATCCGCTGATTCACTCCCCAGGTGGCCGCAATGGCTGGAGCTGCGCCAATCTGAAGCCAGGAGCCAGGAGCCAGGAGCCTCCTCCAGGTCTCCCACGTGGGTGCGGGGACCCAAGGACTTGGGTCATCCTGTACCGCTCTCCTACGCCACAGCAGAGAGCTGGATCGCAAGTGGATCAGCCAGGACTTGAACTGGCACCCGTATGGCATGCCTGCACTGTAGGCGGTGGCTTTTCCCACTGCGCTACAGCGTTGGCCCCATGTATGCTTTTTCTTAAAACACACAAATGATATAATACTGTTTTGTAATTTACTTTTTTTTTTTTTTTTTTTTTTTGACAGGCAGAGTGGATAGTGAGAGAGAGAGACAGAGAGAAAGGTCTTCCTTTTGCCGTTGGTTCACCCTCCAATGGCTGCCACGGCTGGCGCGCTGAGGCTGGCTCACCGCGCTGATCCGAAGGCAGGAGCCAGGTGCTTCTCCTGGTCTCCCATGGGGTGCAGGGCCCAAGCCCTTGGGCCATCCTCCACTGCACTCCCTGGCCACAGCAGAGAGCTGGCCTGGAAGAGGGACAACCGGGACAGAATCCGGCGCCCCAACCGGGACTAGAACCCGGTGTGCCGGTGCCGCTAGGTGGAGGATTAGCCTAGTGAGCCACAGCGCCGGCCTGTAATTTACTTTTAAAATGTAAAGTATGGTAGATATCTTTGCTTGATGTTGTGTATACATGGAGTCGTTTTGAGAATGTTTGAGTGTATGAGTATGCCTTGACTTATTTATGCCCATATTGAGAGATATTTAGATTGCTTCCACTTTGGATTATTTCAAATAATGATGCCAAAGTGCTCCTTTACACCCATTTTTCTTTTTCTTTTTTAATTTTTATTTTATTAAAGATTTACTTATTTATTCAAAATTAAGAGTTGCACAGAGAGAGAGAGAGAGAGAGAGAGAGATCTTCCATCCGCTGGTTCATTCCCCAATTGGCTGCAATGGCCGGAGCTGTGCCGATCCGAAGCCAGGAGCCAGGAGCCAGGAGTTTCTTCCGGGTCTCCCACGCGGGTGCAGAGGCCGAAGGACCTGGGCCATCTTCTACTGCTTTCCCAGGCCACAGCAGAGAGCTGGATTGGAAGTGGAGCAGCCGGGACTCGAACTGGCGCCCATATGGGATGCTGGCACTGCATGGTAGCTTTATCCGCTGCACCACAGCGCCACCCTCTTCTTCTTCTTCTTTTTTTTTTTTTTTAAGATTTATTTATTTATTTGAAAGTCAGAGTTACATAGAGAGAGAAGGAGAGGCAGAGAGAAAGAGAGGTCTTCCATCTGCTGGTTCACTCCCCAACTTGCCGCAATGGCCAGAGCTGTGCTGATCTGGAGACAGGAATCACGAGCTTCTTCCAGGTCTCCCACGTGGGTGCAGGGGCCTAAGGACTTGGGCCATCTTCTACTGCTTTCCCAGGCCACAGCAGAGAGCTGGATTGGAAGTGGAGTAGCCGGGACTTGAACCAGTGCCCATATGCTGGCACTGCATATGGTTCTTTATGCGCTATGCCACAGCGCCAGTCCTCACCCGTTTTTCTGGTATTGTTTACTTTGGTCACGTTAGCTTGTATTCTAGCCAGCACTATGAAATGGAACTTGCTGTAATGATTGAAATGTTCTATTCCTGCACTAAAACGGTAGTCACTATTGTGGTTATTGAGCATCTGAAATGTGGTCTGGTATAACTGTGATGAAATTTAATTTTTATTTAATTTTTTGTAAAGATTTTATTTATTTATTTGTGAGGTAGGATTATAGGGAGAGGTGGAGATAGAGAAAAAGGTCTTCCATCTGCTGGTTCACTCTTCAAATGGCCACAATGGCTGGAACTGTGTTGATCTGAAGGAAGCCAGAGCCAGGGTTTCTTACAGATCTCCCAGTGGCTGCAGGTGCCCAAGCACTTGGGCCTTCTTCCACTGTTTTCCTAGTCTTTCAGCAGAGAGCTGGATCAGAACTGTAGCAGTCAGGTCATGAGCTGGAGTCCATATGGGATGCTGGCACTGCAGGTGGAAGCTTAGCCTGCTATGCCACAGCGCCAGCCCGTTTTATTTAATTTTAATTTTTTAAAACATTTTTTAAAAAGATATTTTTATTTATTCAAAATGAGTGACAGAGAGGGAGAGAGACAGAGATAATCCAAATTTTAGTTCACTTCTTAAACGGCCGCAACAGCCCATTCTGGGCCAGCCTGATGCCAGGAACCGAAAGCTTCATTCCGGTCTCCTACGTGGGTGACAGGAGCCATGTTCTTGGGATATCCTTGGCTGCCTTCCCAGGCACATTAGCAGGTGGCTGGATAGGAAGCAGTATAGTCAGGACTCGCATTGGCACTTGGATATGGGATTCTATTGTCATATGGCAGCTTAACCTGCTGTGCCACAACACTGGCCCTTAATTTTCATCTTAATTTGAATAGTCCAGGGCCTGTGCTGTGGCGTAATGGGTAAAGCTGCCGCCTTTGGTGCTGGAATCCCATATGGGTTTTGGTTCGAGTCCTGGCTGCTCCACTTCTGATCCAGCTCTCTGCTATGGCCTGGGAAAGCAGTAGAAGATGGCCCAAGTGCTTGAGCCCCTGTACCCGCATTAGAGACCCGGAAGAAGCTCCTGGCTCTGGATTGGTGCAGCTCTAGCCGTTGCAGCCAAATAGGGATTGAACCAGCGGATGGAAGACCTCTCTCTCTGCCTCTCCTTCTCTCTCTGTGTAACCCTGACTTCTTTCTTTCTTTCTTTCTTTCTTTCTTTCTTTCTTTCTTTCTTTCTTTCTTTCTTTCTTTCTTTCTTTCTTTTCTTTCTTTTCTTTCTTTTCTTTCTTTTCTTTCTTTTCTTTCTTTTCTTTCTTTCTTTCTTTCGACAGGCAGAGTGGATAGTGAGAGAGACAGACAGAGAGAAAGGTCTTCCTTTTGCCGTTGGTTCAGCCTCCAATGGCCGCCACGGCTGGTGCGTTGCGGCCGGCGCGCTGCGCTGATCCAAAGGCAGGAGCCAGGTGCTTCTCCTGGTCTCCCATGGGGTGCAGGGCCCAAGCACTTGGGCCATCCTCCACTGCCTTCCCGGGCCACAGCAGAGAGCTGGCCTGGAAGAGGGGCAACTGGGAAAGAACCCAGTGTGCCGGCGCCGCTAGGTGGAGAATTAGCCTATTGAGCCGCGGTGCCGGCCAACCCTGACTTTCAAGTAAATAAATACATCTTTAAAAAAAATAAAACTGTACAAAAAATGACAGGACATGACTAATATTTAAAAAAAAAAAACAACAAAATTTGAATAGTCTGATATAGCTAGTGACTGTCATTTTGAACAGTATAGTTTTAGACCAAAGGAGTTGAGGATTCAATCTGTAATCCACATTGTCAGTAATTATTTTGTTCACTTTTTTTTGTGAGTTAGTAATGTAAAAATAAGTTGTAAATCATTCTTTTCATTATAACTTTGTTATTTTAACAATGTTGTATGAGTCTGATTATGAGCTATATTTTGAGGAGTGTGTTTATTTTAAAGAATAATTTCAAGTTAAAATGTATACATGGATTTTCTCCTCAGTGCTCCACTCCAGCTGCGAGAACTGGTAAACTGTCGTTGGGCTGAAGAAGTCACACAACAGCTTGATACTCTTCAACTCTGCAGTCTCACCAAACATGAAGAAAACGAAAAGGACAAGTATGTCCTCAGTTTTTTGATCAGTATTTAATGGGTTTTACCATACATTATTTTAATGGCACTATAATGGCATTTTCCTTTTATTTGTAAGTTAGTAATATATTACTAACATAGTTTTTGTTTATTAAAGATTAATTTATTTGGGAGGTAGAGTTATAGATTGAGGGAAACAGAGAGAAAAAGTCTTCCATCTCTGATTCATTCCTCAAATAGCTGCAATGGCCAGAGCTGGGCTGATCCAAAGCCAGGAGCCAGATGCTTTTCCTGGGTCTCACACCTGGTGCAGGGCCCTAAGCACTTAGGCCATTTTTTACTACTTTCCGCAGGCCATAGCAGAGAGTTGGATAGGAAGAGGAGCAGCTGGGATACGAACCATCACCTATATGGGATGCTGGCGCCGCAGGTGGAGGCTTAGCCCACTATGCTGCAGCACCAGTCCCCATAGTTTTTAATTTTTAACAATGTTTATTTTTTGTGTACACACATGGGACACACAAAGTACTGTGGTAATTTATGATGATACCAAGGAAAATGAGATAATGATTTCTGCTTCACTGTTTAATGGTGGACAGACTGATAATACAATGTTCAGTCATTTTGGGGAACATCCAGGGAAGCAAAATCTTTGGGGGACAGTGATTGAAGATTTATCATGTAATAAGGGTGGTTGTGGGGAGCAGATAAAGGAAGACTTAGTGAAGTGGTAGTAATTTTACAGGGAAAGAAGCTACAGTATGATTATTTGCAGGGCTTCACTGTCTGGCAATAATATAACAGTTGAATTAGAGGAGGTTCCAGTACTCTTGAGTGTTTAGAAATAAAGTCATATCTGTTTCTGTCTATTTACAACATGCTAAAACAAGAGGTTAGGACTTTAGGGGTTATTAGAAAACAATCTATATATTCATCATTGTGTTGAAGAAATAGAACTCTAAGAATGAAAGAGACTTAACACACTAATACATAATCAGAAATAAGACTGTTATTTCCACTACTATACTAGTTAAACAGGGCTCTTAAGATTTCCTGTTACTTCTAGGGTCTCAACCAAAATAATGATTAAATCACAATTCAGTCTTTTTTTTTTTTTTTATAGAACTTCTTAAGGATTTATTTTATTTATTTGAAAGGCAGAATTCTGGGGAGAGGGAGACACAGATCTTCCATCCACTGGTTCACTCCCTAAATGGTTGAGCCAGACTGAAGCCAGGAGCTAGGAGTTTTGTACCTCATCTAGGTCTCCCATGTGGGTGTAGGAGCCCAAGCACTTGCGCTGTCTTTCGTGGTGTCCCAGGTGTATTAACTGAGAGCTGGTCTGGAAGAGGAGCAGCCAGGACTTGAACTAGCAGTCTTATGGGATGCCACTGTTACAGGCAGCAGCTTTGCCTACTATGCCACAACCCTGGTCCTTAGAGTAACACGTTTGATAGATGAACACTGAATGATTTCTGCCATGTAGAGAAACATTACCTGTTTGGAAAAGCCCTTTACCTCTTGTTGGGCTTTTATTAGATTCTGTCTTGAAAGGAATGAAACTGCTACAGTTTGCTAATCTGCTGAAAGTACCTAGAGGCCACAGATTTTAAGAATTTTTCTGGTGAATTTCTACATTGTAAAAGCCATATTATAAACTTGGTGGTTTGGAAATCTTGCTAAATGAGCTTTCAGACATCTAATGTCCTGTTATAACTGTTATTAATTTCCTATTTGAAATTAAGATTACATATGAATCAGAAATATACAGTATAGACCTATTTACCTATTTTGTCTGAGCCTAGTGCAAGCCCTTCAAACGTGAAGTGCTTTTTTAAAAATATTTTCTTTTTATTTGAAAGGGAAAGATACAGATAAAGCTTCATTCTGCTAGTTCTCTCTCCAAATGCCTATAACAGCCAGGAGCCTGGACTGCAATCTGAGTCTCCCATATGGGTGCAAGAACTCAAGTACTTGGGGCAAGGTGCACATTAGCAGGAAGCTGGATTGGAAGGGGAAGATCCAGGACTAAAATCAGGCACTCTGATATGGGATTTGGTTGTCCTAAGTGGCAACTTAACCAGTTTTTGAAAGATGCAAGAATGTGTCTGCTTTATAGGCAAGACAAAACTTAATTAAAAAATTTTTTTCAAACCATAATATAAAATTTACCTTAACCATTTTTTAAAAGATTTATTTATTTATCTGAAAGGCGGAGTTACAGAGGAAGAGAGAGAGAGAGGTCTTCCATCTACTGGCCTACTGCCCAGATAGCTGCAATGGCCGGAGCTGGGCTGATCCGGAGCCAGGAGCTTCTTCCAGGTCTCCCATGTGGGAGCAAGGGCCCAAGGACTTGGGCCTTCTTCCACTGTCTTCCCAGGTCATAGCAGAGAGCTGGATCAGAAGTGGAGCAATCAGGACTTGAACTGGCACCCACATGGGATGCTGGCACTGCAGGTGGCAGCTTTTACCTGCTATGCCACAGCACCGCCCCAGCCATTTTTTTTTTTTCGGACAGGCAGAGTGGACAGTGAGAGAGACAGAAAGGTCTTCCTTTTCCGTTGGTTCACCCCCTAATGGCCGCCGCGGCTGGTACGCTGCGGCTGGTGCACCATGCTGATCCGAAGCCAGGAGCCAGGTGGTTCTCCTGGTCTCCCATGCAGGTGCAGGGCCCAAGGACTTGGGCCATCCTCCACTGCACTCCCGGGCCATAGCAGAGGGCTGGCCTGGAATAGGAGCAACTGGGACAGAATCCGGCGCCCTGACCCGAACTAGAACCCGGGCTGCCGGCTTAGCCTATTGAGCCACAGCGCTGGCCCCCAGCCATTTTTAAGTACAGTTCTATAGTGTTAAATATGTCCCCAGAACTTTTTCAGTTTGGAGATCTGAAACTATACCCATTAAACAAGTGAATAGTTTCTTGTCCCACCAGCCCTTCACTTCAACCACTGTGATTTCTGTTTCTGTGAGTTTGCACTAGATACTTCATTTAAGTAGAATTATACACTTAGCATAATGCTCTAATGGTGCGTGTCAGAATTTTCTTCCTTTTTCATGCTGAATAATATTTCATTGTATGTGTCCACCACATTTTTTTTCCATTCATCTGTCAATGAACATTTGAATTCTGTTGTGAATAATGCTGTTATGAACATGAGTATTTATGTCTTTGAGACTATACTTTGAGTTCTTTTAGATGTATATCCAGAAGTGGAATTACAAGATCATGGGATAGGGGCCGGCGCTGTGGTATAGTGGGTAAGGCTGCCACCTTTAGGACCGGCATCCCAAGTGGGTTCCGGTTCTAGACCCGGCTGCTCCGCTTCCTATCCAGCTCTCTTCTGTGGCCTGGGAAAGCAGTAGAGGATGGCCCAAGTCCTTTGGCCCCTGCACCCGCATGGGGGACCTGGAAGAAGCTTCTGGCTCCTGGCTTTGGATCAGCTCAGCTCCAATTGTTGCGGCTGTCTGGGGAGTGGACCAGCGGTTGGAAGACCTCTCTTTCTCTCCCTCCCCCTCCTTTCATCTCCCTCCCTCCCTCCCTCCCTCTCTCTCTCTCTCTCTCTCTCTTTCTTTCTCTCTCTGTGACTCTCCTCTCTCTGTGTAACTGTGACTTTCAAGTAAAATAAATAAATCTTTAACCAAAAAGATCATAGTATCATATTTTTTGTTTTTTTGAATCTGTATTATTCAGTGTCTATATAATGTTGTCATTCCATCCATAGTTCACAAGGGTTCCACATTCTCATCCTGGCCAGTATTTTTTTGTCTTTTTGTTTGTTTGTTTTAAGAATTAATCAATTTATTTATTTGAAAGAGTTGCAGAGGCAGAGGCAGAGAGAGAGATATGTCTTCCATCGCTGGTTCACTTTCTAGATGGCCAGAGCTGGGCTGATCCGAAGCCAGGAGTCAGGAACCTCTTCCGGGTCTCCCATGAGGTGGAGCATCTGGGACTCAAACTGGTGCCCATATGGGATACCAGCACTGCAGGCAGCAGCTTTACCCTCTATGCCACAGTGCTGGCCCCATGTTTTTTATCTTTTTGATAACAGCTGTCTTAATGGGTATGAAGTTTTGACTTAGATTTCCCTAATGCTTATTGATGACAAATATCTTTTTTATGTTTGTTTGCTACTTGTATATCTTTTGGAGAAATGTGTATTCAAGTCCTTTGCCCAGTTTTAAATTGGGATTTAAAAAAATTTTTTTAAGGATTTTTTTGTTTGAAAGGCAGAATTATAGAGAGGAGGAAAGTGAGATTTTCCATCTGCTGATTCACTCCCCGATGGCTACATTGGCCAGAGCTAGGCCAACCTGAAGCCAAGAGCTGCTTTCGCATCTACCATGTGGGTGGGAGGGGCCCAAGCACTTGCGTCATCTTCCTCTGCTTTCCCAGGTGCATTCACCAGGAGCTGGATGGGAAGTAGAGCAGCTGTGACCAGCACCCTTGTGGGTTGGTGATTTTACAGGCAGCAGCTTAACCTGTACCACAGCTCTGGCCCCTAAAATGTTTTTTTATTTGAGCTATGGCAATCCTTTATATATTCTGGATGTTAACCCCTTAACAGATGCATGATTTGCAATTTTTTTTCTTCCCATAGGTTACTTTTTTCACCCTATTTATTGTGACTCAATATGTCTAAGTTTTTAATTTTGATGCAGTTCAATTTGTCTATTTTTACTTATTATTGCCAGAGCTTTTGCTACTATATCCAAGAAATCACTGTTAACTTCAGTGTCATGAAGCTTTAACCCAGTGCTTTCCTTTTTTTTTTTTTTTTTTTTTTTTTTAAAGATTTATTTATTCAGGGGCCAGCACTGTGGCACAGCAGGGTAACGCCCTGGCCTGAAGCGTCGGCATCCCATGTGGGATCTGGTTCTAGTCCCAGCTGCTCCACTTCTGATCCAGCTCTCTGCTGTGGCCTGGGAGGGCAGTGGAGGATGGCCCAAGCCCTTGGCCCCTGTACCTGCGTGGGAGATCTGTAGGAGGCTCCTGGCTCCTGGCTTCGTATTGGCGCAGTTCTGGCCGGTGCGGCCAACTGGGGAGTGAACAGCGATGGAAGACCTCTCTCTCTCTGCCTCTCCTCTCTCTGTGTGACTCTGATTCTCAAGTAAAAAATAAAAATAAATCTAAAAAAAAAAGATTTATTTATTCATTTGAAAGTCAGAGCCACACAGAGAGGAGAGGCAGGCAGACAGAGAGAAAGGTCTTCCTTTTTTCCGTTGGTTCACCCCCCAATGGCCGCTATGGCCGGCGCACCGTGCTGATCCGAAGCCAGGAGCCAGGTGCTTTTCCTGGTCTCCCATGCAGGTGCAGCGCCCAAGCTCTTGGGCCATCCCCCACTGCACTCCTGGGCCACAGCAGAGAGCTGGACTGGAAGAGGAGCAACCGGGACAGAATCCGGTGTGCCGGCGCTGCAGGCGGAGGATTAGCCTATTGAGCTATGGCGGCGCCGGCCGCTTTCCTCTTAAGAGTTTTATCGTTCTTGATTTTACATTTATGTCTTTGATATAATTTGAATTCATTTTAAAAAATAAAATATAAAGCAAGGGTCTGTATTAGTCTGCTAGGGATAACAACGTCACTGACAGGTGGTTTAAATAATAGAAAATTTTTTTCTCACAGTTCTAAAGGCTGTGAGTCTAAGGTGCTGACAGGGTTGGTTTCTGGTGAGACCTCTTTCCTTCTTAGATGGCTGCCTTCTTGCCCAGTTTTCCAATGGCCTTTACTGTGGGCACCTGTAGTCTTGATGTCTTTTAAGGACACGTATGTTGGATTTAAGTTCCAACCCTGTGACCTGCTTGATCTTCCTTAAAGGCCTCATTTCCAAATAGTGTCATATTGTTCAGTAAGGCCTCCACATGGGAATATTTTTTAGGTGGGGAAAAGGACCTTGAATTCATGCTGAGTTCAACTTTATTGTTTTGCATATATTACCTAGTTCAAGAGAAAATTTAAGATTGAGTTGTTCACTTCTCATGAGGATTCAGTATTCTGTTGCGCAGTTAATCATGTGTCCTGGTTATTGTTTTCATTGCCTACAGCAGTAAAGGCATTGGTGCATGCACACATGCTTGGTAGGTATCGACATGTAATCAGTCTGATAATTAAGCACTTAATTAATGTTATAGAATTTATCATCTGTAGTGACGCTAGGAAATTCTGCTATATTCGCATTTGTATGTTAGTTACAAATGAATCTGGATTTTGTATGGTTTATAAGGTCTGGATTAATTAAAATTAATACTTCACAAAGTTTTGTCCATGTGTAATTCTTTAGATTAATTCATGGAAGCCATGGAATACCGTTTATGTTTTCTAGACATGTAAACTTAACTGACCGGCTTTAGGAATTTGTTGAGGTAATTGTTTTAATTTTAATTAATTTATAACTACTTTCTTTTCATAATGTATAGGTGTGAAAATCACCATGAGAAACTTAGCGTATTTTGCTGGACTTGTAAGAAGTGTATCTGCCATCAGTGTGCACTTTGGGGAGGAATGGTGAGTGGAACAAATTCAGAAGATTCATTTTATTTACTGTAAAGTCACTATTGACAGACAGAGTCACACAGTGAGAGAGAAAGACAGAGAGAAAGGTCTTCCTTTGCCGTTGGTTCACCCTCCAATGGCCGCTGTGGCCGGCGTACCGCGCTGATCCGATGGCAGGAGCCAGGTACTTATCCTGGTCTCCCATGCGGGTGCAGAGCCCAAGCACTTGGGCCATCCTCCACTGCACTCCCTGGCCACAGCAGAGAGCTGGCCTGGAAGAGGGGCAACCGGGACAGAATCTGGCGCCCCGACCGGAACTAGAACCCGTGTGCTGGGCCACAAGGCGGAGGATTAGCCTGTTGAGCCGCGGCGCCGACCCAGTATATTCTTTTTAGTTAGTATATTAGTTAGAAGGATTTAAATCATGTTAGATTTAGGTAGAAAATAGTATCAATGTACTTTTTTTTACAATGATAATAATAATGTGTCTGCTCTAAAGAGACCTTACTCAAGCTGTTATATCTTCTCTTAGTCCAAAAGAACCTCTTTGGTGGAGATGTTTGACATAGGATTTAAACCTTTTATTTAGATATTTTATCCTGTTGTAAGATCAAAGTCTTTTATTTGGTTAAAGGTCATTTGATCTGATAGACTGGCCTTGATTTCTAGTTTTGGGATCTTTTTTGAACTAGAACAAGAACTTAGACACTTTTGAAGCAATGTTAGTGTAATACCTATATTTTTTTAAAAAGACTCTTTTTCACTGTTTTAGTTGATTTTTTCAGTTAAATTCCAAAACAGATTTTTTTTTAAAAGATTTATTTATTTTACTTGAAAGTCACAGTTAGGGGCCGGCACCGTGGCTGACTTGGTTAATCCTCCACCTGCAGCACCGGCATCCCATATGGGTGCTGGGTTCTAGTCCCGGTTGCTCGTCTTCCAGTCCAGCTCTCTGCTGTGGCCCTGGAGGGCAGCGGAGGATGGCCCAACTGTTTGGGCCCCTGTACCCGCTTGGGAGACCAGGAGGAAGCACCTGGCTCCTGGTTTCGGATCGGTACAACGCCAGCTGCGGCGGCCATTTGGGGAATGAATCAACGGAAGGAAGACCTTTCTCTCTGTCTCTCTCTCACTGTCTATAGTTCTACCTGTCAAAAAAAAAAAAGTTACACAGAGAGGAGAGGCAGAGAGTGAGAAAGATAGAGGTCTTCCATCCGCTGGTTGACTCCCCAGATAGCCGGAACAGCCAGAGCTGTGCCAATCCGAAGCCAGGAACTTCTTCCAGGTCTTCCACATGGGTACAGGGGCCCAAGGACTTGGGCCATCTTCCATCGCCTTCCCAGGCCACAACAGAGAGCTGAATCAGAAGTGGAGCAGCTGGGCCTCGAACTGGCACCCACATGGGATGCCGGCGCTGCAGGTGGCAGCTTCACCTGCTATGCTGCAACGCCAGCCCCCCAAAACAGATTTTTAGCAAGCCTGCCTTTATCAAGTCTAAATCATTTAAGTTAGGGTTTCTAGAATCAGCATTTCATTTTATAATTGTGTTCTAGTGTTAATATTTAGCTAAATTATTCATCTATGATGATGACTACAGTTGGTTCACAGTAACCTCAGTAGATTGTTAATGAGAATAATTGATAGAGCAAAAGTGGTTAGGTATCTAGAATTGCTTGTTAGCCATGAGAATTAATCATTGTCTGGGTATCAATCACCTTTTTTTTTTTTTTGACAGGCAGAGTGGATAGTGAGAGAGAGAGACAGACAGAAAGGTTCCTTTGCCATTGGTTCACCCTCCAATGGCCGCCGCGACTGGCACACCGCGGCCGGCGCACCACACTGATCCGATGGCAGAAGCCAGGTGCTTCTCCTGGTCTCCCATGCAGGTGTAGGGTCCAAGCAATTGGGCCATCCTCCACTGCACTCCTGGGCCACAGCAGAGAGCTGGCCTGGAAGAGGGGCAACCAGGACAGAATCCGGTGCCCTGACTGGGACTAGAACCCGGTGTGCTGGTGCCGCAAGGCAGAGGATTAGCCTGTTGAGCCGCAGCGCCGGCCAATCACCATGTTTTACAGAGAAAGCTAGCAGGCCAAATTTGTTAGGTAGAGCTAGGTTAAAAGAGCGTTTTCTGTTCTAACTTGAATACTTATGTACTGACTAGAAAAAATTAGGTTCCTACAGTTTAATACTTAAATAGATTATGTTTTGTAAGAGACAATGGACACATTCTTTTTTTTTTTTTTTAAGATGTATTTATTTGTAAGGTGGAGATAGAGAGAGAGAGAGAGAAAGAGAAAGAGAGAGAGAGAGAAAGAGGTCTTCCATCCAGTGGTTCACTCCCCAGATGGTCGCAATGGCTGGAGTTGGGTGATCTGAAGCCAAGAGCCTGGAGCTTCTTCCAGGTCTCCCATGTGGGTGCAGGAGCCCATGCAGTTGGGCCATCTTCTGCTTTCCCAGGCCATAGCAGAGATCTGGATCGGAAGTGGAGCAGCTGGATCTCAAACCAGTGCCCATATGGGATGCCAACACTGTAGGTGGTGACTTTACCCACTATGCCACAGCACAGGCCCCTGGACACATTGTTTAGGAGAACATGGAAAAATCTCTCTCTTTTTTCTTTTGTGAACTACTGTGGGGTGCTTTGGCTAAAAAATACAATTCTAATAAGAACTTACCTGTTATAAGAAGTTTCTTGTAATAAAAGTTTATTAGTTTTATGTATCCTTTCAGAGAGTTTTAAATTACAGTACCAAAATTGGATAGCAAACTGACTTTCGGTTCGTAGATTCAGAAATTGTTCTCTGAGCTGAATGCATCTGGATTTGCAAGGTTTATTTCTCTACAAGTAACTTTTTGTGGATGAGAAGTAGATTTGTTGCTGCTGCTAATTATGTAACTGGAATTTTCCTCAGATATCTTTCTAATTTTTAAATTGTGCCAGCAACTGAAGATTTGGTGATGAGCAAGACAGATAACAGGCAATTATACATTTAAGTGATGTGGTAAATTTTAGGAATAAATAAAGAGACCTGAGAGGCTGACCCTGTAAGACTGAGTTAAGATCCAAAGGATGAGTAGGACTTAAGACCTGCCGAGATGGGTGAAGGAATATGAAGGATAATTATTATTTTATTATTTTTTAAAATATTTATTTATTTATTTGAAAGTCAAGAGTTACACAGAGAAGGAAAGGAAGAGAGAGACAGGTCTTCCTTCCACTGGTTCACTCGGCAGTTGGCTGCAACGGCTGGAGCTGTGCTGATCCGAAGCCAGTAGCCAGTAGGGTCTTCCAGGCCTTCAGCGCAGGTGCAGGGGCCCAAAGAATTGGACCATCTTGTACTGCTTTCCCAGGCCATAGCAGAGGACTGGATCGGAAGTGGAGCAGCCTGGATTTGAACTTTCGCCCATATGGGATGCTGGCACTGCAGGCGGCAACTTAACATGTTACGCCACAGTGCCGGCCCTGGATAATTATTTTTGAATAAAAGTAAATAACTTTTGCAACAGTCTTTTGGAAAGAAGTTTGAGGACATGAAAGAAGGTCAGTGCTGGGGAAGAATGGTTAATAAGATGGCAAATGGTTTGGGCTATGATTTGAGGATTTTGGTTTTTTCCCTAATGAGTGAGATATCTAGGTAAGTTAAAATTTTCCTTTATAAGCTTAAAGGAGTTCCTACATGGGCCAAGAGATTTTAAGCAAACAGTGGCTATTTTTAACAAAACAAAGGTAGCTAACAAGATAAAATTCATTTGAAAGTATTTATCATTCTATTAGTGTTCATAGAGTGTTGAAAAGCAATATAAATGCAAATAAGAAATGACAATGTTCTAAAACTGCTCTTATTAATTTAAATAGCACGGTGGGCATACCTTTAAACCTTTGGCAGAAATTTATGAACAGCACGTCACTAAAGTGAATGAAGAGGTTGCCAAACTTCGTCGACGTCTTATGGAACTGATCAGCTTAGTTCAAGAAGTGGTAAGACTAGTATTACAAGATAATTATCCTTTTTGTACTATATAACATTTTAAAATACAAATTGACTAGATGTTAAAATCAATGTTGTCAAGATTTGAATATTTGATAGGATCCATCCATAGTCAATCTCATCAATTTCAGACTAGCCAAGCTACTGGCATCCAAGGTCTTAGTCTGTAGGGGCACAACTGAAACCAGAGTATCAGTTAATGAAATCCATTTGATACAGATTCAATAATTGACTTCTGAACAGAGTCAGTGTTAACTTTTTTTTTTGAAGATTTATTTTATTTGAAAGGCAGTTACAGGGAGAGGGAGAGACAGATCTTCCACCCGCTGATTCCCTCCCCAAATGGCCACAATGGACAGGGCTGAAGCCAGGAGCCAGGAACTTGTTCTGGGTCTCCCTCATGAGTGCAGAGGCCCGAGGATTTGGGCTATACTCCTCTGCTTTCCTAGGCACATTAGCAGGGAGCTAAGCTGGAAATGGAGCAGCCAGGACTAAAATTGGCACCCATGTGGGATGCCGGTGTTGCTGGCTGAGACTTGACTGACTATGTCACAATGCCAGCCCCAGTATTGACTTTTTATAGAGTCATTAAATTATTCATTCTTTGGGTCCCCAGCTTTTGAGAGTGTTTCTGCTACCAAGGAGTGAGTTATTTCTGATTTGCTGATTAGAACTCTACAGAGTTGAAACCATAATAATTATCAGTACTCTTCAGAACTTTTATGACTCAGATAGCTATGGTAAACTGTTCATTGTTTGCAATGTTATATCTATGAAAAAATATGATGTTTCAAATAATTAAGTACTAAAAATACTTGTGGAGTATATTCTGTCTAAAGTTGCCAGAATGGCAGTTATAAACCAGTTTGTAGACCGTTTCTAACTTAGAACAGAAGCCAGGAGCTCCTTCCTTTTCTCCCACAGGGGTGTCAGAGGCCCAGGTACGTGGCCCATTATCTGCTGCTTTCCCAGGTTCCTTTGCTGGGTGCTAAAGCAGAAGCAGAGCAGCTGGGACAGGAACCATTGCTTTCATGTGGTGTTACAGGTGGCAGGTCGACCCACTGTGCCTCAGTGCCAGTCTCAAAAGATTATTTTTTTTGTGTGTGTGTTTTAACAGTGTTTTTATTATGAAATGTAAATTTATAAAATGTTTTATATAAAATGAACAATTTTCATGTATTTCATATATTACAGATTTAGGAGCATAGTGATGCTTTGCACCCTACCCCTACCTTTCTTCCTGCCCAAGCTCCTACTCTCCCCCCTTGTTCCATTGGTATTTTTTATTTTAATTTTTACAATTACATACTTTATTTTATAATCATAAGCTTAATCTTGTACTAAGTAAATAATTCAACAAATAATAATTAATAAGAAAAAAAAACACTGTTCCTCAACAGTAGAGACAAGGGCTGTAAACAAAAACCAAACCTCAAAATGTCAATTTTGCTCCCAGTAGATTTTTAAAAATATTTAATTTGTTTTAGGGCTTTGTCAGCATGTGAACTGGCTTTACTTTTATGTTTTGAAATGTATCCTATCAGGAATGTATTTGGGGCTTCGAGTATGTGTAGTCCATGTTACCTAAATCAATTTTTTTTTTTTTTTTTTTGGACAGGCAGAGTGGACAGTGAGAGAGAAAGACAGAGAGAAAGGTCTTCCTTTGCCGTTGGTTCACCCTCCAATAGCCGGCATGGCCGGCGCGCTGCGGTCGGCTCACCACGCTGATCCGATGGCAGGAGCCAGGTGCTTCTCCTGGTCTCCCATGGGGCGCAGGGCCCAAGCACCTGGGCCATCCTCCACTGCACTCCCTGGCCGCAGCAGAGAGCTGGCCTGGAAGAGGGGCAACCGGGACAGAATCCGGGGCCCCGACCGGGACTAGAACCCGGTGTGCCGGCGCCACAAGGTGGAGGATTAGCCTATTGAGCCGCGGCGCCGGCCTTCTAAATAATTTTTTGAAATTATGAATCTTTATTGATTTAAAAAAAAAGTCATATAATTGATTATGCCTTGTTTACTTTTTAGGATCTATTTTTTTTTTCATTATAATTTATTTATTTGGAAGAGTTAGAGAGAGAGCTAGAGACAGATTTGCTGTCTGCTGGTTCACTCCTCAAATGGCTGCAATAGCTTGTGCTGGGTCAGGCTGAAGCCAGGAGCTGGGAGCTTCATCTGGGTTTCCCACTTGAGTGACCAGGGCTAAAGTACTTGGCCCATTCTCTGCTGCTTTCCCAGGCACATTAGCAGGGACCTGGATCAGAAATGGAGTGGCCAGGGCTCACGTGTAGCTAATGCGATGCTGGCATCAGAGGCTATGGCTTAAACTTCTGTGCCACACAGCTGGCCATATTGGTCTCTCTCTTTTTCTTTTCTTTTTTTTTTTTTTTTTCAACTCCATGTCCCCCCATTCACAATACAGACCAGGCACGAGGCCTGAGCTGAGGTGTATGTGGGGAAGCTCTACTCTGCCTCCTCTTTCTATGCAGTCAGTGTAAGAACACAGCCTACATAGGGTCTTTCTTAATTGACTCACTTAAATGCACAACATTTTTAAAGCACCTAATCTATTTCGATAATTTAAAGATATTTTTGACTTTTGATTTCTAAGGAGGGAATTAGTTGATTTTGAGAATAATTGCAGTAGGTTACATTAATGTTTATTTGCTATTGCTTTTTAAAATTCAAAAAAAATTTTTGCCTGTTTTATCTTCTAGGAAAGAAACGTAGAAGCTGTAAGAAATGCAAAAGATGAACGTGTTCGGGAAATTCGGAATTCAGTTGAGATGATGATTGCACGGTTAGATACACAGCTGAAGAATAAGCTTATTACGTTGATGGGTGAGTGTTTATGCTGCTGGGGTACATGGTACTTTTAGCCTCCTTAGGGTTTGATCTTTGAGTAGCAAAGGTTGATGAATTGTTACAGGCTCAAAAGGAACCTTGAGATTTTAGGCAACTATATGTTACAATTTGGACAGATGATTTTTATTTAGAGATGGTTGGATAGAAAAGTTTCATGGCTATTTGGATGGGATCCTAATGACCATTAGGCTTTGTTGTTAGGCAGCAGTGTTTTACCTCCTTCAAATCTAGTCAGAGGGGCCGGCGCTACAGTGTGGAGGGTAAAGCCGCCGCCTGCAGTGCCAGCCTTCTATATGAGCACCAGTATGAGTCCTGGCTGCTCCACTTCTGATCCAGCTCTCTGCTATGGCCTGGGAAAGCAGTACAAGATGATCCAATTCTTTGGGCCCCTGTACCTGCTTGGAAGACTGGGAAGAAGCTCCTGGCTCCTGGCTTCAGATCTGGGCAGCTCCAGCTGTTGTCGCCACTTGGGGAGTGAACCAGCAGATGGAAAACCTCTCTCTCTCTCTTGCCTCTCCCCTCTCTCTGTAACTCTGACTTTCAAATAAAATAAATCTTAAAAAAATTAATCAGAATTCCCACTACTAATGTTTCTTTTTTTTTTTTTTTTTTTGACAGGCAGAGTAGACAGTGAGAGAGAGAGACAGAGAGAAAAGTCTTCCTTTTGCCGTTGGTTCACCCTCCAATGGCTGCCGCGGCTGGCGCGCTGCGGCCGGCGCACCACGCTGATCCGATGGCAGGAGCCAGGGACTTATCCTGGTCTCCCATGGGGTGCAGGGCCCAAGCACTTGGGCCATCCTCCACTGCACTCCCTGGCCACAGCAGAGAGCTGGCCTGGAAGAGGGGCAACCGGGACAGAATCCGGCGCCCCAACCGGGACTAGAACCTGGTGTGCCGGCGCTTCAAGGCGGAGGATTAGCCTAGTGAGCCACAGTGCGGGCCCTAATGTTCCATTTCTTTCAGTGCATCTTCATTGAAGATGAAGAACTAACATTTGAAAATTTCAGGGTGATCTACTCAGTTTTTTCTTAGTGATTTAAAGTCTTGATTTTTGGTTTCTAGGAGGTCCATATTAAATCTAAATTATTTATTTTTTTAAAGATTTATTTACTTATTTGAATGGTAGAGTTAGAGAGAAGGAGATAGATCTCCCATCTGCTGGTTCACTTCCCAGTTGGCTGTAATGGCTGGAGCTGCGCTGATCCAAAGCCAGGAGCCAAGAGCTTCTTCCAGGTCTCCCACATGGGTGCAGGGGCCCATACACTTGGGCCATCTTCTACTGCTTTCCCAGGCCTTAGCAGAGAGCTGGATCAGAAGTGGAGCAGCTGGGTCTTGAACTGGTGCTCATATGGGATGCCGTTACTGCAGACAGTGGCTTTATCCGTTGTGCCACAGCGCTGGCCCTTCATGCTCACTCCCTAACTCAGCCTTCTCAGTAAATAAAATCTATTGAGAAAAAGAAAAAAAAAAGAAAGACTTCTGTGCTAAATGCCTATTCCACAAAGATAGCTTTTAATTTTTTCTGTTTCATTTATAGTCAAAGCATATGTATTTTTTATTTGAAAGGCAGATATATATGTACACACAGATACAAAGATTGAAATATCTTCTATTTTTCCATCTACCTTTTTACTCTCCTAATGCCTGTGATAAGCCAAAGCCTACAACTCATTCCATGTCTCCCACATGGGCTGCAGGGACGCAAGTACTTGCTGCCTCCCAGCATGTGTATTAGCAGGAAGCTGGTATGGGAAGCAGAGCTGGGACTCAAATCCAGGCACCCTAATAGGGGATGGAAGCATCCCAAGCAGTATCCTAACTGCTGTGCCAAATGCCCATCCCAAAGATGGTTTTTGTGATAAAATGGAATACTTTCAGGGCTAGGACTTCTCAAAACATCTTATTATAATCTTACTTAGTATTATGAGGAACTTTATTCATCTTTTATCCACACCACAATTTCTGCCACTAATGTTTAAGTTAAATTAAGAGTGGTAGTGTTGGAGTCGGTGCTGTGGCATACCTGGTGAAGTCATTGCCTGTAGTGCTGGCATCCCATATGGGTATTGGTTCATGTCCATGCTGCTCCGCTTCTGGTCTGGCTCTCTGCTATGGCCTAGAAAGCAGTAGAAGATGGCCCAAGTCCTTCGGCCTCTGCACTGGCATAGGAGACCCAGAAGAAGCTGCTGGCTTCAAATTGGTGTAACTCCAGCTGTTTTGGCCATTTGCGGAGTGAACCAGCAGATGTAAGACCTCTTTCTCTCTCTGCCTCTCTGTAACTCTGCCTTTCAAGTAAATAAATAAATCTTTTTTTTTTTTTTAAAGGGGGTGGTAGTGTTGCTTATAGTGTGATTATCTCAGCACTATCAATGTAATGATGGTGGAAATTACCTCTGATAATATTGAATCCCAGGTTATTTAATTCAACTCCCATGTAACTTTTTGGAATCAAGAGCTTCTGATTTTGGTTTCAAAAATAAAAGTTACACCTATTATATGTCTTTTTTAAATCAAGTACGCCTCCAAATTGATGTAACTTATGCTAACTTCATGTGATATATAGCTCTTTAGACTTTTGTTATTTAGGAGAAAAATAATCAAATTTAGCAAGCACGCCTCATGTTTTTCTTTTAAAAAATGTGTGAAGCTTCTTTCTTCCTTTTCTGTGTTATTAATCTCTTTAATGATAGTTCCTTTTTCTCTTTCTTTCTTCAGATTTTTGAGACCGTTTACCTCTCTGGGCATTCTTTTTTATAAGTCTTTGTATGTTTAAAGACATTTTGCTGACATTTAAAATAAACATCTGATCTAGTAACTACATTCCTCTTTTAAACCACAGCCAAATTTGGAGGACAAATTATTTTAGAATAATTGTCTGAATGCAATGCATGTTTCTTCAAAAAGATTGTGAAGATATAGAAAAGTAATTGTTTTACTTACAGTGTATGCTATACATTTCTTAGATGAATTTGATGGTTTTATCTGAAACTAATTAGTGTTGATTCTGAAGCTCTCTTTTCAAAGCTGCTGTAATAGTAGATTTCACCTCTTTAATCTCTAGAAAAATTTTAGGGTAGCTTGTAATGAGGAAGTTTTGTTATTGAATATGCTATGCTTCTGCCTTTCCCTCTTTGTAGCTTAGCGTTTCAAATAAATAAATGTTTTTTTAAAAAATAATATGTTCAGTGGAAGTTAATTTCATTCCTAAGCCAGTAATGAAGATGAGTGTTGATTTTCTGTTTTTAAACAGGTCAGAAGACATCTTTAACACAAGAGACAGAACTGTTGGAATCCTTACTTCAAGAAGTAGAACACCAGGTGATGAAATATTAAATGTAATGAAAAAGTCTGTCTTTTTTGGTTCATATGTTTTAAAAGTTATTTGTTTTTTACTTTTTTGACCAGAATATCTGAATGATATCAAAAGATCTGTGATTTCTGCTTGCTATCATGAAGATTTTTATGAAATAAGAATCACCAGTTTCAAGTTTTCTTTTCATATTTGGGAACAAAATAAGATTGATTCTGATTTTGCAAGAATAGAATTATTTTTAGTGGGAATAACCCTATAAAAAGTTAAAATCTCTTCTTGTGGTTTAGGTTGTGGCTTTGAGATAGAATATTACTACCAGTGACTTACACATAGTGATTCTTATGTTAAAATGTAACATATTTATTGAGGATCTGTTAAATATTACATAAATATCAGGCATTGTTTTAGGTGTTTGGAATATAGCAGGCACAAAATGATTAAAATTCTGCCACACTAAGAGTTCATAGAGGTAGGTAAGTATGAGTGATATAGTAAATAAGTAGTATAATATTTAGTAAATATTTGATATATGCCCTTCTCTTGAATTTTAAAAAGAATTTTTTATTTTTAAAATTTTTCTGATTGCTTCACAGCTGTCTCTCAAGATTGTTTGTGATCATCCTGGAAATTCTGTTCACATTTTCTTTGGTTGATTTGCATATTTCTTGATTCCCATGATCTCCACTTTCTGAGTTTATTCATTTTCTTTGCTATTACACTTCCTCCAGTGGTTTTCTAGGATGGATAAACAGAATAAAGTTTACTTTTCTGCATATCTGGAAATACTTTCACTTTTACAATTGATTGATAGGCAAGATTCAGTATATAACTATTTCTTAAACACTCATTTCTCTTTAGTACTTCTATTTTTTTTTTTTAAGATTTATTTATTTGAAAGTTACCCAGAGAAAAAAGGAGAGCAGAGCGTAAGGTCTTCCATCTGCTGATTCACTCCCTAATTGCTGCAATGGCCAGAGCTGTGCCGATCCAAAGCTAGGAGCCAGGAGCTTTTTCTAGGTTTCCCACATGGGTTGCAGGGGCCCAAGGGCTTGGGCTATCTTCTACTACTTTTCCAGGCCATAGCAGAGAGCTAGATCAGAAGTTAGCAGCCAGGACTCAAACTGGCACTCATATGGGATGCCGGCACTGTAGGCGGTGGCTTTGCCTGCTACACCATAGCTCTGGCCCCTAGTACTTGTATTCTTAATTGTACATGGTATTCCTATAATCCAGAGACTTTATTTTATATTTTCTGGAGAATAAACTAGCAGCTTTCTGCTGGAATGATTAGACAATTTTAGACTAGCTGTGTTACAGCACAGATGTGCATTTGAGGGACTTAAGTGTTGGATTTTTTAAAAATAATTTTATTCTTATTAAACATAAATTACATTTATTTAAAGTGTACAACTTGGGACCAGGATTGTGGTACAGCAGGTAAAACTGTTGCCTGCAATTCCTGTGTTCCATACAGGTGCTGGTTCATGTTCTGGCAGCTTCACTTCACATTTAGCTCTCTGTTAATGGCCTGGGAAAAGCAGCAGAAGATTGCTGAAGTGCTAGAACCCCTGCCACCCATCCGGGAGATCTGGAAGAAGCTCTTGGCCCTTTGCTTTGGCTTGGCCCAGCCCTGGCCATTGTGGCCATTTTGGAAGTTAATCAACAGATGGAAGATCTCTCTGTCTCAGTGTCTCTCTCTCTCAAATGCTGACTTTCAAATAAATATATAAATCTTAAAAAAAGAATGCTCATTAATAAAATGAAGTATACAACTTAAGTTTGATAGTTTTGAGATTTATTTATTTGAAAGGCAGAATGACATAGATCCTCCATCCACTGGTTCCTTCCCCAAAAGAGCTGAATGCAGGAGCCAGGAACTCCTATCTGGTCTTCCATGTGTCAGGTACCCAAGTGCTTGAACCATTATCTGCTGCTTCCTAAACACAGGGAGCTGGATAGGACATGTAGCAACTAGGACTTGAACTGACCCTCTCATATGGGATGCAAGAGTCCTAAGTGTGTCTTAACATACTGTGCCAGAAAGGTGGCCCCAAATATATATACCTTTGAAACTATCAGCACAATCAAGATAGTGACCATAAGTTATCTCCAAAAGTTTCTTTGTACCTCTTTGTACTCTTCTTTCCCACCTTTCCCTCTCCAGGAAATGACCAGTCTACTTTGTCATTATAGATAATTTTATAGAAATTTATAAAATTTTATAGAATTTTATAAAAATGAAATCATATATTAAGTAATTATTTTATGTTTAACTTCTTTCAGCAGTTATTTTGAGGTTCATTCTTGTTGCTGTGTGCATCAGTAACTGTTTTATTGCTGAGTAGTATTCCATTGTGTGTATATGTATATATGTATATATATATATATAAATACCACAACTTATTTTTCCATTCAATATTTATGACCATTTAGGTTGTTTAAGGCAGTTACAGATAAAGCTACCATAAACATACATGTGAAAACATTTAATGGTATATGTTTATTTTTCTCTTGGGTTTACCTAAGACAGAAGGGCTTGCTCAAATGGTACATTAGTGAGTCCTAGCAGTTTACTGATATGTAATGAGCAATTTTATCTTTTTTTTTATTTGTATCCGATGAGCAGGAGCCAGGTACTTCTCCTAGTCTCCCATGGAGTGCAGAGCCCAAGCACTTGGGCCATCCTCCACTGCACTCCCTGGCCACAGCAGAGAGCTGGCCTGGAAGAGGGGCACCGGGACAGAATCCGGCGCCCCAGCCGGGACTAGAACCCGGTGTGCTGGCGCCGCAAGGCGGAGGATTAGCCTAGTGAGCCACGGCGCCAGCCAATTTATCATTTTATATTCCTACAGGTGGTGTATCACAATAGCAGTTCCTCCATATTCTTTCCAACACACTGTAGTCTTTTTAATTTTAGATATTGTTGTAAGAGTATCTAACTGTAGCTTTAATTTGTATTTCCCTTATGACTAACAGTATTGGGCATCCCTTCTTGAACTTATGTGCCATATAGCCATATATATTTTTTCCTTGTTGATGTGCCTTTTAAAATCTTCTGGCCATCATTGTACTGATTTGTTTGGGTTTTTGTTGAGTTTTTAAGAGTTCTTTATATAAAGTAGAAATCTTTTTTTTTTTTTTTTTAGATAAAGGCTTTTTTTTTTTTTTTTAAAGGTTTATTTATTTGGAAGGCAGAGATAGAGAGGAGGAGAAAGAGAGAGAGAGCGCCTGAGTGCACATGCTCTTCCATTCATTGGTTCACTCTTCACATGGCTGCAATGGCTGGGGCTGAGTAAGACAGAAACCAGGAACTCATTTCAGGTCTTCTGCATGGATACAGGGCCCATGTAATTTAGGCCATCTTCCTCTGCTTTCTCAGGCACATTAACAGGGAGCTGGATTGGAAGTAGAGCAGCCAGGGCTTGAACTGTTACCCATATGGGATGCTGACACTGCAGGTGGAAGCTTAATCTTCTGTGCCATAATGCAGACCCTTTTTATCAGATACATGTTTTGCAAAAATTTTGTGAAAAATCTGTGCTTTGCCTTTTCATTTCTTGGTAGATGTCATTTGAAAAGCTGAAATTTTTAATTTTGATGAAATCTTATTTGCCAGTTTTTTTTCTTTTGGTGTTATATTTAAGAAATCTGTAACCCAAGGTGACTCAGATTTTCTGTTTTCTCTCAGAAATGTGGTTGTTTGAACTTTTATATTTAGATCCATTATCTGTTATGAATATTTCTGTTCATGAGGCATAGATCTGAAGTGTTTCTTGTTGTACACTGATTCAGTTGATCAGCACCATTTGTTGAAAAGACGGATTTTTCTATACTTTATAAACAGTTCATATTTTTCAGAAATTAGTTGTCCATGTTTATGTGGACTGTTCTTTTTCATTGATTTGTTTTTTATGCTAGTACTACACTATATTACTGTAGCTTTATAAAAAATAAAGATCCAGTTACTTAGGACATCTAAGTTGGTTCTGAGTGTCTGCCTTAGCAGAGAGTCAGAGGTGGAGCTGGATATTGAGTTTACACACTCCAGTGTGGGCTGTAGGCATCTTACCTGCCAGGCCTAGTGCCCACACCTCAGGTGTTTTTGTATGCCATAGTATGCCCATGGTCATAGAACTGATGTTTATATATGTATCTTTTTTGTTTTTTTCTTTTTTTGAATCTTACATCCTTCAACATTGCTAAATTCATTTGTTATTCTGGTAGCTATTTGTTGATTATTTGAATTGCCGACAATCATGTCCTCTTGAAAAAGTCGTTTTTTTTTTTTGCAGTTTGGCTGCCTTTTATTTCTTCTGGAAGATTACACTGCATAGAACCTCCAGTACAGTATTGAATTAAGCATAATGTAGCCTGTAGTTTTACTGTAGGTGTGGTTTGTCAGGTAGGAATTCCCTTATATTCCTATTTCATTATGAATGAATGTTGCTCTCTGGGCTGCTATAACAGTCTTATATACTAGGTGGCTTATAGAGAAGAAAAGTTTATTGCCGATAATTCTGGGGTCTGGGAAGTACAAGATCAAGGTGCCAACAGAGTTTGTGTCTGGTGAGGGCCCACTTCTGGTTCATAGATAGTGCCTTCTTGTGTTCGACGAATAGAAGGGTAACCCTCTATGATCTCTTTTATAGGGTACTATACTGATCCCACTCCAGATGGTTGTACCTTATCACCTCTTAAAGGCCTTACTCACTAATATCATCACCTTGATGATTAAGATTTCAAGATGCAGATTTTAGAGGGATGTAAGCTCATTAGTTTGTTTAATTTCCTTTTATTTTTTAAAGATTTATTTAAGAGTCAGAGTTACAGAGGGAGAGATAGAGAGGTCTTCCATCTGCTGGTTCACTCCCCAAATGGCTGCAACGGCCAGAGCTGGGTCAATCTGAAGCCAGGAGCTTCTTCTGGGTCTCCAATGTAGGTACAGGAGCCCAGGTATTTGGGCAGTCTTCCACTGCTTTTCCAGGCCATTAGCAGGGAGTTGGAT